AGGTTTATTGTTGCTTCAAAGTTCATTAAGTATCATGAATTGTACTGTCTATACTATATCTTATACGGAAGAAGTCTTACAGCTGAAAATAAACTTCCTTTACAGACATTTATTTCTATATCTTGCGAATTGTTGCGATTGTTTTTATGTAATAAAGGAGAGCAAAAAAATAAAATTATTTAACTCCAACCGCCCTTACGAAAATTTCAGGTACAATTTATTATATGACTAGAAATACATGCATGCAGCATCCCCTCGCTTTTTTTAACAGATGAAGTAGGCTATAGAAATTCCATTTAACATGACGTAATTCGATCCATGTTTATAATAATAATAGCCGCTATGGTAAGATGAAAATAATATGAGAAAATAATAGGAGATAATTCTTTACCTAAAGAATCCGATTGATTTCATAATTTGTTATATATTTGGAATGTAGTTTTATGTTATGTGACTTTCAATTGGCTGAAATTTAATGTAAACTGTAACGGTAAAACGTTTCGAAACTTTGGCGCGAAACTGCAATAAAAAAAAAATTTTATTGCGAGCTAATACTCGTGCATGCGCACTAACGTCGAAGACCGTCCATCACATAATGGAGGACAACTTTGCACTTCGCTATGTTCTCAAGCTACCAGCTGTAAATAGCAGGGTGGAATTAGTATACCATCGCCCAGGGCTTACGCCCGGAACGGCGTTTCGCGCAGTTGGCTCGTGGGAAATGTTTTTTTAAATATCAACTCTTGTAATTATGAGAAAGATTTGCGAAAATGTTTGCATATAAGAAATATGCGAATTGTCAGAAATGCTAGTGCAATTCTTTAACAAATTAGCTTCAGAAATGCAAGAAATGCAGTTATCGAGCTTCAAGAGTAGCAGTTATAGCACAATCGCCTGGCAGAAAACTTCTTCACACCCCTATCATCCAACAAAGAGAAAACACGATTAGGCGAAATTCAACTCCCAATGTTTTATATATATGTACAGTATATATATATATATTTATATGTATATATATATATATATATATATATATATATATATATATATATATATATATATATATATATATATATTACCAGCATTAAATTAAATAACTAACGGCATATCAGATAGATGATTCAGTCCTAGTTTTTGGAACAGTGATCTGGTGATTTTTATTAATATATTTTAATTTTCAGGCCATCGAGGACCTCGTGGACCACCAGGAATATTTAGGGATTTTGTAGGTATAAAGCTTTTCACTTCTGCGATATTTGATCCAGTCTTTTGCTTTTCCCTCTATAAGGCACTTGACTTGCATTTCAAGACTGTTTCCTATGTATAATATTGACTATTTAGTATTAGAGTTAAGTTGGATATTTTATTAATGTTTAGATTTCAAATGTGTTAGAATAGATGACTATTAATGAATTTTAGTATTTTTGCACAAGAGAAGAACATAAAAAATCCTATAAGTTCATTGGTCAAATTTGACGTATTAAGCTGTTATGTTCACCTACAGGTGAATATAACAAAACCGAAATTTTTAATATGGCGGCTAGCCGTTTGGTGGAAGTTACTGATAAAGAAATTAGCGAAATTAAAATAAATTCAGTACCAAAAACATAAAAGACTTGTGTAAAAATACTAAATCAATTACTCGGCTCAGGCTCGGATGTTGCAGAGTAATTTCAAAAATTTAAAGAAAGATGCTATATTGTTTTTACTTCTATAAACACTTGATTCGCATTTCACGATTGTTTGCAAATAATATGGTATTGGCTAATTAGTGAGAGTTCAGTAAATATTTAGTTTTCATAATTATAATGTATTAGGATATGAGTTATTGTATAACACTTGTAACAACCACGGCACGTAATTTGATATATATTTTAATTCAGATCAGCTGTCTAAAGACGAGCATTCCCCTGAAGGGAGAACTTTTCTTTTTGATATATGAACTGCAAAAACTATAGTCCGTTCACAGAATGTAATCAATAAACCCTTATTACGTTTTTCAGTCGAATAAAAATTTCAATAAATTTATATGCATATTGACCAGCTCTTTTTATTTCTGGTGTATAGAGTATTTCTATCAAATTTTAATTTCACTCAAAATGTTTTATAAAGGTTTATTGTTGCTTCAAAGTTCATAAAGTATCATGAATTGTGCTGTCTACTATATCTTATACGGAAGAAGTCTTACAGCTGAAAATAAACTTCCTTTACAGACATTTATTTCTATATTTTGCGAATTGTTGCGATTGTTTTTATGTAATAAAGGAAAGCAAAAAAATGAAATTATTTAACTCCAACCGCCCTTACGAAAATTTCAGGTACAATTTATTATATGACTAGAAATACATGCATGCAGCATCCCCTCGCTTTTTTTAACAGTTGAAGTAGGCTATAGAAATTCCATTTAACATGACGTAATTCGATCCATGTTTATAATAATAGTAGTCGCTATGGTAAGATAAAAATAATATGAGAAAATAATAGCAGATAATTTTTTACTTAAAGAATCCGATTGATTTCATAATTTGTTATATATTTGGAATGTAGTTTTATGTTATGTGACTTTCAATTGGCTGAAATTTAATGTAAACTGTAACGGTAAAACGTTTCGAAACTTTGCCGTGAAACTGCAATGAAAAAAAAATTTTATTGTGAGCTATTACTTGTGCATGCGCACTAACGTCGAAGACCGTCCATCACATAATGAAGGACAACTTTGCACTTCGCTATGTTCTCAAACTCCCAGGTGTAAATAGCAGGGTGGAATTAGTATACCATCGCCCAGGGCTTACGCCCGGAACGGCGTTTCACGCAGTTGGTTCGCGGGAAGTGTTTTTTTAAATATCAACTCTTGTAATTATGAGAAAGATTTGCGAAAATGTTTGCATATAAGAATTTTGCGAATTGTCAAAAATGCTAGTGCAATTCTTTAACAAATTAGCTTCAGAAATGCAAGAAATGCAGTTATCGAGCTTCATGAATAGCAGTTATAGCACAATCGCCTGGCAGAAAACTTCTTCACACACTGCAAAAAATCCATTTTCGCTTTGAGTTATTTTAACACATAAATTTGCGTAAAATGCAATGTTTACTCAGTTTAAGAGTATTTTTACTCGAATATGCTGAGTATACTCAGTAAACTCAAACACCTGAGTAAACTATTTTGAGTAAACCACTATCGTTTACGCAGTTATAATCGGTAAAATTACTCATTTGAGTAAGTTGCTTCATATTTACTCGTTATTCTCGAGTAGAATCGATGTTTTACTCTAACATTGAGTTAATATACTTTCCGGACTGATCGAGTTACTCAAAGCTGAGTAAAGCCTGCGAATCTACTCAATGTGAGTAGAATGTACTGGTCACTCATGGTTTGAGTATTTTTACACCGGTAAATTTTTGAGTAAGAAATTTCGAGTAAACACCACCGGCTACACAAATGTGATGAGTAAATTTACTCAAAGGGTAAATTTACTCAAAGACCGTATCAAACAGTTTCCTCAGTGACTCAAAACTTGTGAGTAAATTGACTACAATACTCTTCAGATGAGTCAACTCAGCATCGGACAACCGGCTTTACTCACAAATAGCAGGACAAATAGCATCGATCAAACATCGGCAAGAAATTGCTCGGTGAATAAATGTGATCGACTCATCGACGAAAGTCGGCAATAAGTCATGGCTGCTGATCATCATGTGATCGGGAACTTTGGGACTAAGGTTATTTCAAGTCCTGATTCCTGAATAGAGTAATTCGTCATCTATATTCATCACACGATAACAACGTTGAACCATAGTTAATAAATAGAAAGCACGAGGTCATGCACAGCATATATTTCAGTGTGGTTGCTTATTCTGTGATATTACGCTGCGATCAGAACACACGCAGCGATAGTCTTGTCAATAATCCCCTGCCTTTACAGTGACGTAAATCATATCTGACGACGCGGTAAGTTCAAATTTCAGTGCCTCGTGAATGCTTTGGTGGACATATATTATTCATCTGTACCGTGAGGAATTTCATGGCGAAAAGCGTCAACTTCTTCTTCTTTTATATCGAAGATGGTAAATAGTGTAAGAGGCATGAAGACTTGGCTTACAGAGATGGGTTTGGGAGATTGTTGTCTCTCATTTGAAGGTATATTTCCAGATTTTTTCATGTAGACGTTTGGACAAATAAACAGCAACTGAGTTTGGTTTACCGCGCTTCATTCGCATTTGCTTCACTAGTTTAAACTTTGTCGCGTCATGATTGTCTACTTCAGAATTTTCGAAGCTTCCAACGGGCGATTATAACAGAAACAAACTAAAGACGAAAAGCGCATTTCGCATCACAAAAAGCGTTAAGATTGAGCGCTGTTAGCCGCTGTGGTATTGTGGCACAATGCGCGCCTCCCTCCATATGGACGTTTGCAGTTGTATGTTTGCCTAAATATAAGTTACATTGATCGATCATATTTTCTTTACTCACAACTCTACGTGTTTACTTACGCTTAAGACAAATATTTGTATGTCTGTAACTGTATTTATAAGAAGGGAAACGGATTTAACTACAGAAAATTCAAACCATCGGCAAGGTGTAATACGATACGTTTGCATTGCCATTGCGCCTATTAAAGGGCATATGAAGCGTAAATTTTGATATTTAGTTTTCAGCTCTTCTAGGAATATAAAACGCGCTCTTTTAAGTGTAATACTTATTTTTACATTTCAACTTCTTTAAAATGGTGAAATTTGCCTTCAAACTTCGCTTTTTGGCAGCTTCGAGCCCAACTCGCATTTAGGGGCTTGGGTCCGAGCGATGACGTAGGAAGTTGTACCCGATTAATATACATCACGATGCTTTCAGCTTTCAGCGTCGATTAGCATAACACTTGACTTCGGACGAAAATTTACATTGTAATTTACAAGTTGTGCGCTGTAGTTTCCTACTGTATATCTGTATTCAGTGTTTAAATCAGCAATTCAAAGCTTTGTTTGGAGTATCAGTTTGCGAAGAAATGGCAAGCGAATATGTCACCGACGATTCGGAAAACGAGAGCATGTCCGAGAGCATGTCGTGTTCATCTTCGAGCGACCAAGACAACAGTGAAATCGTCGAAGACGTATTAGCCGGGTCTTATCAGCCTTATGCTCACGAACCATTAGCAGAAACTTCTGACGAGGATGAACAAGAAGAGGTCGATGTTGATGGGATTCCTTTACAAGAAATTGAAGACCGATACGAAGGAATACAAACGATTGAAAATTGGTGTTGTTGTGGGCATTGCGACGCGCGTTTGTTATTTGGTCCAAGAGAATACAGATGCTGTCACGAGATAGATGCGGCAAATGTTTTTAAGTCAGAACCAACAGAACCTGTTCAATGCGTTACTGAACATCCTGATTTTAACGCTGTTGTATTGCATCCTCGAGTCCTGCAAGTTGCAGCGAATGGATTGAGAACGAGACAGGGTAAAAGGTATAAACAACTTGGCAGCGACGAAAATAGCTACTTGAGAGCAATCGCATACAGACTCTTTATATCTATGGTATTTGGGTTCATGGGATTTGACAATTCAAGACCGCTCCCTGCATGCGCGTATACAACAATTCGAACAAGGTTTCCAAAGGCGAAAAACACCGAATATACTGGATATAAGTCAACAGAAGAGAGGTAGACTTTATTATAAACTTTTGGACAATATTATTAAAACAACCTTGACTGCTCAAGTCAGCATAATAATCTACCGTGCTATTTTTACACCTATTATATCTCAACTAGGTGGAACTTAGGTTTATTAGAAAGTTTTACATTATATATAACATTTTGGTGATTTTGCTATTTACAGTGCAAGACAGAGATTATGAGAGATATACTTGTTCATGTATTGCATGAGTCAATGTATTAACCCCAAGTCCCAACCCTGCACCCCAAAACAGGGTGGGGGTTAATATACTTGAATGGTAAGGCCCAAGGGTTTGAAGCTTTTCACATTTGTTGGTGTGGTACATTAATTGCAAAATCCTACCTAATATCTGTGATTGTTGCAATGTAAGCTATCAAACTTGGCGTTTATTAGTACTTCTAATATAGTACTATATAATTTATAGTACTTCTGTGTTGAGAAACAGTCGGCCGCCTAAATTTCAAATGTATTTAGCCCTAAGTCTGCCGCACAAAAGAGCTATTAGCCAGGTAGGATGGTTCGGGTTACATTTACTCATGCATAACATAAAGTAGCGACCATAATATATTATCAACAACACAAAAGTTCATTGTCATGTATGAAGTGGTAAATTAGCATTGTCCACGCTTGTGACCTTTCATGGGTTTTTTGCACTTTGTACAGCACCGCGTCTTTGGTGTATTGGTAGGTTCTGGTCCAGAGGCTGTCAGCTGAAGCTGATCTTGTTCACTCACTATAATATAATAAAAAAATGAAATAATTACTATACTTTTGTTATTTTACTGTGTAATGAGATGATTCAAGAGGAAAGCATTGGGTGTTATTTAAGCACCAATGCCCAAAATGTTCCCCTACATGACTAACATTAGTCAAATAATCTGTTGCGATGGCTTACAATAGTATGATAGCAACTGCACTTACAACTGGGATATAACTGAACTGTCATTTCTTGTCTTTTGTGATAATTATCAAGGGCAGTAAGGCGGTCCACTTTATTGCTGAATTGTGAGCTAAGCGGAGCAGGAACATTCTTCAAAAACTCAAGAATTTTGAGTTTCATAGATGCCTTGGTATCTTTAAACAACATATTCCTCAAATCTTTCACATAATTGTAGGAGGGGGGGACTGGAACAGTTCGAACCAATTCATCACCGTTTTTATATTTTGGGTAATGAATGCTATAATAGACTTTTCCATCTTTGGTCTTTTTCGCATCCCTCTTGATGTTCTCATTGAAGTGAACAATAGCTAATGCATGTCTAAAGATGGAGAAAATAGAAACTGAGTACAATTAGGTGACAGATATGAAATAGCAAATGAGTTACATGAAGTACACAACAACGGTAACTCCAAATAAAGACAACATTTTTTGATTCTACGTTTCGACTTTATTTAGTCATCATCAGGATTCCTGATGATGACTAAATAAAGTCGAAACGTAGAATAAAAAATGTTGTAAGTCGAAAACCGTTGTTGTGTATTTTATGAAAATGCTCAGTGGTGCCCGCAGTTACATGAAGGTTACATGTATTGTAACCGTCATTGGCAAAGTTTATAAATAAATAAAAAATAAATAAAAATTGTAATATATTGTACCTGCAATATGTGCCTGTGTAGGAGTAGGCTGTCATCTTTGGGTGGAACTGGTTAAGCGTGGAGTGGAAAGCTTCCAAATGACTTGTTTGCACTTCTGGAGATAGCTTCTTCACATCATTCAGCATTTGGGTTCTTCCACATATGGCCACAACTTTATCATAAACATCAGTACCTATAATGCAAAAGTATAAACAGCCTCATAGCATCATTTCAGAAAACATGTGCAGCTCCCATTCTCCCCACAAAGAAAATGAGAAGTTTACCCCCCCTGAATGTCTAAATTATATTCTCACCCATCCTTATCCATTTTCTGTTCGGAAGTTCTTCATGTACACATTTCGGGAACAATGGATCTGCATGGTTTGTGTGGAGATTTGCAATGTGCCTTGAATATGATTTCCACTTTGCCAAGATGAGCTGTTCATAGCCAGACTTTGTGGAGCAAGCACACCAGTATAAATGATTTTTGATTGGCTTTATCCACTGCAGAACTGCTTCACAACCTTTTTCTTTAGCTAATTTTGCCAACTTTTTGGTTATGCTTTTGGAAACATGCCAGATATCAAAGAAATGATGGACCAATGGGTATGCTGCCCTCAACCACTTTGCTATCCCTCTGTGTCTGTCAGATATGAATGTTTGCACTTTCACTCCTGAATTGGTTAGGAACTTAAAAGAACGTTTTGCACCTTCCAGTTCCATAGCTTGGCTTGAACCAGTTTCATTAGCCTGAAATTAAAAGGATTTGAGACTCAAGTACAACATTAGCTCTTTTCTACCCCCTGCTAACCACACAATTTTCTAAACTATGTTAGACAGAGTACTGTCGATGCAATAGAAGTGTTGATAAAATATTGCATCAATTCATTACCTAGAATTGATCAATTCAATTCCTTGAAAATTGATCAACTTCCTGTGTGCTTGAATCGACCAATTGCTTTTCGTTTCAGTGACTGACTGACCAATTGGGAACAAGCAGCCAGTAAACAGGGAGTTGAGCAATTTTCAAGGATTTGAATTGATCAATTCTA